CGGGGGCGGCGGGGACGGGAGGGCGGCCGTCCGAGGAGGGGCCGAGCGGCGCGGCGGGGCGCGGGCCGGGGGCGGCGGGGACGGGAGGGCGGCCGTCCAAGGAGGGGCCGAGCGGCGCTGGGGGGCCGTTCGATCCTCCGCTGCTCTGCGGGGCGCGATTGCCTTCGGCCCCGCGGGGTCCGGTCTGCTCGCCCTTGGAGGCGCGAGCCCCCTCGGCCCTGCGGGCCGCCCTCCCCTCGGCGCCGCGGGCCGCCGCCGCGCCGAGCCCCGAAGGGGACGCGGGGACCCGGGTGGTGTCTGTCCGAGCGCCGGGAGGGCGGAGGCCGAGAGCGCGGAGCGGCGGTGCTGCGGCCGCAACTGTGGGCGCCTCTCCCTGCCGGCGCTGTGACAGGTGGGTGTGCGGCCGGTGCTGGACGCGGCCTGGCGCTGGGTGGGCTGGTGTCTGTGTGCCTGTCTGTGTGTGTCCGTCCTTCCACATTCTGCTGCCTGCCTGTTGGTGGCCCCGCTCCCATCACGGTTTGTTCTGCCCTGTGTGGCAGCCTCACTAAGGAAGGCCTCGGAGCCTCCCGCTGTCGGTGTGAGGTGCGGTGGTGGCTGGGGAGCAGGGCTCTGGGTGCTGGCAGGTGAGAGATAAATGCTAGTTTTAAGTACTGATAAGAAAACCACTCCTACCCGGGGAGATCACCTTGATATTTTCCAGGTTCCTGCATGTAGAATAGAATTAAATTCTGCTGGGAAGTCTTTAAACTGCGTTGTGACCTGTGTAAGAACTGTGATTACCAAAGTGCTTGTCGCTGCCCTTTTGGCTTCCATGTGTCGGCCTGGAGACAGCATGTTTCTGTATGTTACTGGCTTCTAAGGAGAGCTTTGGACACCTAGAAATGTAACAGACCAAAGTGCCCAGGTAACTTTCAGGCAGGTATCTGTGCATACCACCCGACTGCTCAAGGCCCGTAGAAGCAGCGAGCTCTCAGTAATGTTTCCTGTATGCCTGTGCTCCCTGTGTCGTCGCTTCCCTAACCACTCCTCAAACTGCAGCAGGTGCTGTTTTCAGTTACAGAACTCACATGTGGTACAACAATACCAACTGTGTACAGTAGAACTGAAGCCAAAGGATTGAGGATTTTGGAGCATCAGTGTCCCATGACCAGTGCTCCCACATTACTGGCAGGGCTGTCTGAAGGATTTGGCATTGTCGGAGGCATTTTGCATCCAGGAACGCAGCACACAGGTGTTGGCATGAGCTGGTGTTTTGTGTTGAGGGCTGGAAGCTGTGCAGGGTCATTCAGCTCTGTAAGTGAAGTCTCTTTCCCCCACCGAACAGCTGGGAGGAACGCAGGAGAGAAGAAAAACACAAAATCTTGGGTTCTTGTGTGTTTCATCCCAAATGTGCTTTATGGTTCTCACAAATTAGGTTGCTGGAAGTTTGATTTCGGTTGTTAAAGTTAATATCCATGCTAAGAAACTCCCAGGTGTAACTAGTTTCCCTGTGCTGTGTGTAGTCCGTTACAGTGTAAGCAAATAATCTGAAAAGCATCTCTCCCAACAGCAGGCTTTACTTGTGCCTGTGTGTGTGGTCAGAAAGTGGCAGGATTGCACAGCACCTTGCAGCAGGGAAGCAGGGAGCCCTGTTGTGTGGTGTATGTGCTGTCTATGTGCAGAGCATGCCGGGCAGTAGGTCTGCAGGACACAGCTCTGGCTGCTGTAGTTTGAGGCACATTTTTAAGCTGCTGGTATCTCTTCCTGCCCAGCATAGCCCACACCATCATTTCCTCGAGCTAAAAAGGGCGCTGCATCATGGAGCCACAGAGGTTTCCTCGCTGATCCATTAGTGGCTTAGCTCAGCTTTGCCTGCGCTTTATGCCATTAAATGCCACTTGCAAATTTAATGCTGGGAGTGCTGAGATTTGTTCTTGTGGAATTTAATGCCTCGTGTTTGGATTTGTTAAAATGGCAGGTTGAGACAATGAACTGCTTGGGTCGGAGAGTACTGCAATGTTTGCAATTGGCGTTCGGGCAGATCAGAGGGAGCCCTGAGCAGACAGCTCAGGTTTCGAGGTTCTGTGTCCTCACCCAATTGCGTTTGTTAATCATGATGTGGTGGCAGCTGGCAAGATCCAGCGCGATGGAAGTCCTCGTGCTCAGTGTCTTTGCAGGATCACTGCTGACCCTGACTTAACCATGTGTATTTCCTTGAAAATGGCGCAGGACGCAGCACCTTTCGTCATTCCAGTTTAAATTCACCACTCCTTCCTTCCTCTGTTATTTCACGTGGTGGTCAGTACCAGGGCTGGTGGGCTTTAAACTGTGCTACGCTGTCTTCAGTTGTCTGATGTATGGTTTTATTTAATGCATGACTGCCTCTTGTTTGACTGCTACATGCTAAATGTTTTCATAGGGGACAGTGCACAGAATTTAACATTTTTTACTCTTAACCTTAGCAAAACAACCAAGGATTAAATGGAGAAACAGCTTGCATCGCCTACAGGAGGCCCCACCCCTGCACCAGGCAGAATGTTAAAGTACTACTCTTGGTTGGAAAAGAGTCACAACAGTGGTGTTTACTGGCTTCTCATAGCAGCATAAACCATGACTCCGTATATAGAACAGTGATTTTCAGAAGTTTTGCCTTGGACCGATTCCATACAATCTCTCACTTCCACACATTGACCTCCTGCCACAGAGATGGCATTTCCTGTACTCTGCTGGCGTGAGCTGTCCTGCTGCTGTAGAGTGAAAATGTACCATGCAAGCTGTGCTCAGCAGCCAAGCACCATGCCAGGCTGCCAAAGGCCTGCTTGTGTGCACGGGACAGGGTGCTGTGTGTGCTGGGAGGCTTGGGTAGTTGCATGGGGCTGACTCTGCGTCTGTATGCAGGTGGGACAGTGCTGTCCAAGCTGAGCTGCAGTTCCATGAAATCGCACAGGATGCTGAAGTTGGATGGTTGCAGCTGTAGTGCTGGGGAAAGGTAGTGTGGGGATAGCTGTGTGCCAAGGAGGAGGGAATACAAAGAAACTACAGCAGAGTGAGGATGGGGAGGAAGGGGTGGATGCAAGCATGTGGAGGCCCCTGGTGGGGCCTCTGTGAAACACCTGGGCAGAATGGTGGTCTGTGTCCTACAGTACCTGAGGGATGCCAGGGTGGATGCTTGGTCAAAATGTGGTTATACAGAGATGCAGCCACACTGGGAGAGATTTTTATTTGCCATAAGCAATATTTAGTAATAGCTTAGGGTTTCTTATCTACTTGCTTTGAAACAGCACAAAAGCTGTATTTTGCAGTGATGAGCAATTATCTGCAAATTAAAAAAAAAAATACTGGTCAGATACTGCTTTTGTTTTTATGCATGTATAATCTCCTATTTTAGTTTTCTCTCTTTTGAAATATAAATAGATGGTTTATCAAAGGAGACCTCAGAAAGAGCCCACATCATTCATCAGATGTGGATTATTTGCATTCTGATACTTTGTTCAGCGTTTGTTGGGGAACACTTGCAAGAAAACGTGCGTCTGCACTGAGAAGGCACAGATCTGTACATCCTGATGTCCACAGGCATGTGTAGTGTTGCTGGGATGGCATGCCAGTGGAGCTGGTGTTACTGGGTGGAGCTTTGGAGGGCTCTGAGGCTGAGGGTCTTGCTGTTACAACCCCAACTGCTCCATTCATCCTTGCGCACTGCGTTGCCTGGCATCGCAGTAGCTGCCAGCAGGGAACTTCCTTTGCTGTTTCTTTGAGTGCCTGCCAGTCTTTAAAACCCCTCT